TCAGCCTCCCTCTTTCTAAGTCCTCTTGGGTTTCACCTATTCTTCCTACCCTAATTAATCTTTCCCCCAGTTAGCAATGTTTGTTATGGTTCTCTTTTGTATTTGTTTATGCAGTGTTTATGGTGTACAATCCTTTTGAATTATGAATGAACTTGTCTTGTGTCTACTATGCTTCTTGTCTTTTTTTCCTATTTGTTCGTGTTAGTGTTGCCCCAGTGGCCATGAATTTCCCCAGAATGCTTGTTCTCTTGCTTGGTTTATAGTTATTACTTTTTTATGATGTCAAAAGGAGGAAGATATATTGATAATAGGTAAGCTAGTTCAGATCAAATGATTTGATCCTTGTGATAAGGGAGCATGTTGATAGGGGGAATGTTGCTTGAAGAAGATATGAGAGATAGGACGAATAAAAGGGGGAAATGTATTTTTGTTTTTGATGATTTAACAAACTAAAAAGCAACAAGTCCTAATAAAGGGATCTGATCCTCTTGGCTTTTATCTTATGGGACAAGTCAATGGTGTGCAGTTGTAAAGCTGCAAATACTGCAGTGGTTGGTGGTAACTGCAGCAGAGAATCGGAAAGGAGTTCAGACATCGATCAATGGTGTTGCTCCTAATTTTTTGTCTCTCTTCAAAACAGAACATGATAGCAAGAATTAACCTAGTTTTTGCAATCAAGAATATTCATAAGTAATGTCATTTTCAAGGAAGAACCATTCTCACACGCAGCAAGGGACCTAATCAAGTGTTGCAGAGTCTTAAGTTGTTATTTGAGATTAGTGTCTTGTGATCTCATATTGTAAGATATATTCCTATGTTATAAATGATAATATATTGTGACGTGTCAAACTACTGAGTTTGTGGCTAGATCTAGCCGAATTGTGTGTTTGAAGTCTACGTTAACTAGAGGTAATTGATATAGTGGGCAATAGGGCTATTGCTTTGTATCTTGTGATAGAGGTGTTACAAGGTGTGTAGGATTAGGAGTTTAATCCTTGATAAATACTCGAGTCTGTATTTACGAGTTGCTTGAAGTTATTGGAGCTTTGAGAAATCTTGTGTGACAAGTCGTGGTTTATCTTCCCTTGAGCAAGGAGGTTTCCACGTAAACATTCGTGTTATTCTATTGACTGGTGGTGGATTCATTCAAGCCAACAGTTTCAATGTCTTAGTTTTGTTGTTACAAGAAAATTGGAACATGATGTACTCTCCGCTGATTTAATGGTAGGCCCTTGCACATTGACTCAATCTTTCTTTACATGTTCGTAGTTGATATAATTAGTTTTGGGTGGTTTTAACTTTGATGCTAACGTGGTAGTAGCGTGGAAGTCTCTAAAGAGCATAAACTAGAGGAATTTGTTTATAGACAACGACAAAATTGCAAACTTAGTGTCAGACTGTCCTGCATTGGAAACTATGGAATTATATGATACAAGGATTCTGCTTAAGGGTCCTCTTCGCATGGAAATTAGGTCTTCAAAACTAAAGACACTGAAGCTTCAAAGTCATTGGAAAGTCGGTCTTGCATTTTTTCAAATTGTTGGAATGTATGCGTCCACTGGTCTAGATGGGACCAGGTCCTCAACATAGTTACAATAACAGAAAATAAACAAAGTGGAACAACTTTACGTGGAAACCTCCTTGCTCAAGGGAGTAAAACCACGACCTGGCCTGCCAGGACTTTTCAAAAAATTGCTTTCACTAATCTTCTCAAGCAAAAGTAAAAGCAAGTTTACAAACTGAGATTAGCCTACTAATCCCAACTCTAAGCAATAACGCCTATTACTTAGATGAGCCAGAGCAGATACAACACTGCCCACTAAGCTATCACCCTTAGATAACTTAGACTTTGCTAAGAGGATACCACACCACCCACTAAATCAACTATCTCCTAGATGATTTAGATTTTGACTAAGCAGATACAACACTGCCCACTATACTAATCTTGACCGATTAATATAGACTTTAGAGTAAGACACTAAGTTACCCTTAACCTAGTTCTTACAATAATTCACCCAAACTTGAAACGTTTCTTTCACAAGTGAAACGAATCCTACAATATAAGCACTATTACAAGCAAACAAAGTAAGAGTTGGTACAGGAAACACTTGAAGCAATCGATCAGGTCCCTGCTGTTTTGAAGCTTAAAATATCTCTCTCTTTGAATGAATGAGTAATATTGTTGTTTGTTGCTGAATATATATCATGAAGAAATATTATCCAATGTACAAGCAACCTCCTCGCTTCTGATTGGTAAAGTACTCTGCAGCTTCACCAACTTCCTGACACGGACAACTTTTACAGTTGTACAACACTTTGACAACTGGACGAGTATTCATACTCTGCAGAGGACCAGGTCCCTGCACTTGTGAGGAGATCATCAAAACATCTAGGAACATAAGCACTTATCACAAATCACTTTCGAAATATTTGCCCCATATCTTCAGCATTTGGAAATTTCAGGAAATCTTTATGATCTCAGGTGTATGCTTTTTGATGTGTCCGCTGTGGTTACTGCTAAGCTTACTTTCAACATAATGTGTATCAAAGACATCCTGGATGATCACGGTCAGGAATTTGATCCTCAGGAAGACAGTTGTCGTGATTATCATCAATTCTCTAAGACCCTTATCCTATATTATCTTCTAACGTTCCGCTACGCAAATGAGTTATCAATAGCAACTTGGTTCACAGAGGTTTGTTTCTATCTCAGAGTGCTTTTCTGTGTGTTATTAGCAGACAGTTGCTCGATGTAAATATCAGTTGAAAACCTTTGTAAAAATTTCATAGACCCAACTGGATTAGTTGCAAAAACTTGTGGCCTTTTTGTTCTTTTTTGTCAACTTTTCAGTGTTGGGTATTTCTTTGTCATATCGGAAAAAGATATATCTGAAAACCTGGATTCTTGTGTGTCAATTTTGCTTAAAGTGTTTAGATGATAAAATTTGCCACATAACTTACCTGGCCGTGGAGTACTTCCTTTTTATTGTTATTGCTTTTTCCATTCTTTAAATTACTATTACTAGTTTCATTGGGATTATTGCACCAGGTTTTGTGCATGTTGTAGTTCAAAGGAATTTCGCTTCCAGAAATGAAATGCAAATATCTAATGGGGGAGTTGCGTGTGACCATGTTGCAGTTCAAAGCGATTTCGCTTCCAGAAATAAAATGCAAATATTTGACGCTAGAGTTACATGTATGAAGCTGTTAGCCTTCTGCGAGCATCACCTCATGTGGAGACGCTCAACATAGATATATCACCAAAGCATGTAACTTCCTCTCTTCTTTTTACATCCATTCATTTATGAAGTTTAACCACCCCTCCTGGAAATTTGTTTCTGAAGGAGAATGCTAATATCTTTAAATATCAGTAAGAAGTTTTCTTTTGTCATTGCAAGGCTTCACGTTAATAGGTTGGTGTTGTTGCTATCTTTATGGCAAATGAGTTCTGAAACGAAAAGGGTTGAGTACCATCACTTTTGTGCAATGTCCAGTAAGCTAACCTCCATTTGGTCTATTCTCTGTTTCCAGCTTAAAAATTTCCACAGCCGTTTTGAGTTAACATATATATTTTGCCAAAGGAGATGATATTGATTTGCAAAGTTGGATTTCAAGCTTTGGGTTTCCCAAACTCAAGAATGTTAAGATTATCAACTCCTCTGGAGTGTTCTGTAAGGATCATTTTAAACAGGGCTTTGACAAGCTTTTGGAACTTTCAGAATTCTGTAAAAGAATGCAACAGTTTTGGAGAAGTTCGTGATATCAAAGGGGATAAAGTGTGAATTATGTTCAATCAACTGTGTGTCCACATGTTTATCCAATTAGCTGAGAAATTGTTAGGTTGCCCAAGATCCTCCACGAATTGTATGATTATCTACTAGGAGTGAGATTTCCATGACTAGACTGCAAGTAGTTTTCTATGTTAGGATACAAGATATGTCACCTTGTCTTGAGATGTTTGGGTACCCCGATATGTATTTCAGTTGGCTGAGAAATTGTTAGGTTGTCCAAGATTCTCCACCACTTTTGTGATCATCTTCCAGAAGTGGGCTTTCCATGATTTAAGTGCCAATAGTTGGACTAGTTTCCTATCTCATGATGTGAGTAATGTAGTCTTCTATTGAGTTTTTTTTTTCTATAAGCTTGTCGTGCAAATTTTAACTTATATATGTAACTAATTACTAGTTTTACTGTTGGACTTACCCTTGTGACATACCAAATGTTATGGTATCTTGAATGTTGTAAATGCGCATTGAGATTTTCTTGTCTCTTGTTTTGATGGTGGATGATGTGATCCTAACGGTTGTAACCTCTGTCTTGCAGAATAATTGTGTTTGACTTTGACATATGCTCCTTATTTTCCTAGTGTTGCATTGCCCTATGCCTATTGTGTTTCATCTCTTATATTTTATCTTACTGTAAAGAACTTGGTTGAATGTTTTTGGAAGTTGTAGCAAACTCTCAAGATCCTCATACCACAAACATTTATGACCTCATAACTAACATATCAAAGATAGTATACATTTTCGGCTTAAAGTTGATCACCTTGGATTACTAGGAACTACTAGTTCACATGTAGTGACATTTATTTTATTTTTTCCTCTTCTTTTTGTACTCTGCAATAACTTGACGATTAGAATACTGAGGTGCAGTAAGCGCACGACTACTGCTAAAGAAAATTAACATGATTAATATCATATGATCCAGGATCTGATTTGAATAACGAAACTTTAAGCTTGTTCACATAAGTTAACTCACCATGGTATATCGTGGCTCAGCACAAGCAGAGACAAGAAGAAGAATATTTTTTTTGTTTTGGAGAGAATTATATAAAAAGAGAGGAGACAATTTCTCTACCAACTAGGATATACCTATATTTAAGCTAGATCCTGGGCTTGTGGGAAAGAACTGCAAAGTTTCTGAATAGCCTGGCTCCATCTTGGTGTCCACTGTTATCATGTCTGCTCCTCTTTGTCCCAATGCAATGTTCTGTTGGTTCATCATTGTTTCTTAGAAGAGGAGAAACCGACCTCAATCTTAGGTTCATCTTTATACAATAAACGAAGTCCAAACTGCTTCATTTCTCCAGAGGGAAATAACTTAATGCGCCAATAGTCATTTGGTGTTTTTCCATTTGCCTTAGATGTATTCCATAAGCCAGCAAGAGGTACCAAGAAAAAATGAATAGCAGATTCTGCAGGACATTTTGAATGGTTGGATAAGGAAAGTTTCTGGGTGATACACGTCACTGGCCTCTCATCATAACAAATCAAGTGAGCTTCGGCGTTAATTAATTTGCCAGAGTAACATACAGCAAATCCCAAGAAGTCATCACTTATATACCAATTTTCAGGCAATTTGACTGATATACTTCTACCATTTTCCCGATGGTGGAACCATCTTGGGATATTCCCTCTAGTGGTGAACACTCTTAGTGACAAGGAATCTGAAGCAGAGATGTCATGCTGCCATGATGACATATTCTGAAACAACGAATTACAGATCGAATCATTAGTCCAATCTGCACCTATTGTATCTAATTGTTGTGGAAATTCTGGCAGCTGTGTAAGCCTCTTGCTATCTGATAAGTCCAAGGATCGAAGAGCACCAAGCTGGGCTATGCTTCGAGGCAAATACTCAAAACTGTTTCCACTGAGATTCAACTCTTTCAAAGACGATAAACGTCCAATATCTTCTGGAAGTCTTCCATCTATTATATTGCAGTTACTGAGATTCAGAGTCTCCAAGTTTGGCATCCCAATGAGACTTGGCAACTCTTTAAGCCCCATGCAATTTGATAAGTACAAGGATTGAAGAGCACCAAGTTTGGCAATGCTTCGAGGCAAATGCTCAAATTTATTTCTATTGAGATACATTGTTTTCAACGAGGATAAGCATCCAATGTCTTCTGGAAGTCCTCCATCTAATAAATTGCAGTCACTGAGATTCAGAGATTCCAATGAGCGTAACCCTTCATTCACCTCAGGGAACACAAAGGACACTCCAAATTTTGATTCTTGATATGCAAAACTCAAGTATTTAAGCTGGTTCAACCGGATGATGGAAGGCGGGGCTCGTGAAATAAGAGTGCATTCGGCATTAAGTGTCACCAAGTTTTCTAAATCACCTATCTCTTCTGGCAAGCTTTCAAGTTTTGAGCAGCAGGATACAATTAGCTTCACCAAACCTTTCAACTGACAAATGTTGCTTGGTAGAGCTACAAGGTTTTTCATAAAACTCAAATCTAGCTCTGTAAGACGACATGCGTGTTGCTGAATAAAAGATGATGGTATTTCCCTTACCCCAGAGCGTCTCATCTTGATCTCTAACTCTGGCTTCATTCTTCCGAGGATTCCTGGAAATTTTTCTAAATTAGAGCAATATCGTAGATCCAGAGATCTAAGAGATTCCACATTAACGCATGGAAACCTTTTAAGACATTCACAATTATACAACTTTAACCAAATGAGTTTTCTGGAACATCCCAAGGAACGGTGAACCTCTTCAAGATTACTACAGTTACACAAGTTCAAATATTCCAAATTCGGCATCCCCGTGAAATCTGGTGTTCGCAACAGCCTTTTGGAGTGGTTAAGATTTATCTTTCGCAGAGACGGCAAATGCTGCAATTCAGAACACAGAAAGAATGCGAATTAGGCTAGTGGGCAATCGTATAATTTTACTCCCTTACACGAAAAATGAGCAAGGACATTCAGATTATGAGAGTCTAACACAATATTTTGTGTGAAATTAGAAATTGTTTTACTTTATTTTTATGTCAAGTTTTTCAATTAGAATGGTCAAGATGTATTTGACAAAAAGAAGCATAAATAAAACTGTATTCAGTAATTGTACCTTTGTTCCAGTCCATAATTGAAGCAGCAAACTGTGCTGGAGATCAAGATAAACAAGCTTTTTAGGTTCAAAATTTTCTAATAATGACTCCCAAGGATAATCATGACAAACAAACCAGCGCAAGTTGTTGGGCAGATACTCAATGGAGTCATCATGTGTATGAAAGCTGATGATGGATAATAATCTAAGCTTTTTCATGACTTTTTCACTAAAGCATAGTTTTTGAACACCATATATCCAAATTGCTTCAATTGCGTTGGTCCCCTGATAAAAGATCCATTAGTCTACAAAGCATAACTTCAAATGTTTGTTTAAAATCTCATGACTACTTTATAACTCCTTGCAATGCCAAATTTCATCATATTTTGCATTATTTATTATTTCGCTTGAAAAGCTAGCAACACTAAAAAAAAAAAAAAAAAGGTAAAATATTAGTTAGGACTTTCTTAAGAAAAATGTTGCTAAAGAGAAATACTTTATGCAATTAATTCTATATTTCTAATTTCTAGTATTACAATTTTTGACAAGTTCTAAAGAGTCAAATTGAAAAAAAAAAAATCATGTTATGATAAAATGAAGTAGTAATTGAGACAGTACCAACAATTTTTTTCTTTTAAATAAAAAGTAAAACATGAAGACTAATAAATATCATTGCATTGTTAGCCTACTTAGTACTTACTATATTGTTGACCATCACTTCTTCAAAATCTTCAACATTCCAGAGTCTACTCTGTTCTCCCGATTTTTTTTGCATTTTTACCACATATCTACCCATATCTTGAATTAAGTCATGCATTTCAATCTTATCATTTTTTGAGATGAACACAAGAGATTTATCAATTAGGACATCCAATGTGTGTTCTGCTCCAAAATCACAGCTCTCAAGGATTTGCATGACTAGTTTTTTTTCTTTTCCTCGTAAAAGACATGCTATATCTAAAAATATTGTTTGCTCTTCAAGCTCTAACCCATCATAACTTACTTTGAGCTTTTTAACAATTTCTAAACTAGAATTTTTCTTTATTTGGTCTACAGTGCTTGTCCACTGAGTTAGGCCTTTATTATGCAACAAAGAACCCCACACCTTGAGGGCTAAAGGAAGGCCTTTAGCATGATTTACTACCTCCAATGAGAACTTCATAAAGCGTTCATTTGGAATTTCTTTTCTGAAAGCATGTCGATTGAACAATTGCATAGCTTCATGATCAGGTAGTGTAGCTACTTCATATATTGCATCATCCTTCTCTATCAAATGTTTATTTCTAGTTGTTACAACAACTCTGCTGCCATTACCAAACCAACCAACATCACCTGCTAAATACTCCAAATGATCAACATGATCTATGTCATCAAGCACAATTAGCACCTTCTTAGAAGAAAGCCTACTTTGAATCATGCACTTTCCATCATACTTATTATAGACATAATCATCTTTTTTTCTTAATAGTTCAGAGAGAAGGGTATTTTGTAAAGAATGCAATTGATTATAATTTGCATTTTCTTTAACATCCGCAAGAAAACAAGAAGATTTAAATTGATAAGATATAGTATCAAAGATGGCTTTTGCTATTGTCGTTTTACCAACTCCACCTATTCCCCAAATCCCTACAATCCGAACATCATTTATTTCTATCTGAAGTAGGGATTTTAGTTTCTCTAAATGAGCATTTATTCCCACAACATCTTGCAAAGAAGATAAATAATAAGAAGTCTTGCATAATTTGGAAGAGATGTGATCGACGATCTTGTGAATATTCTCTGATTCGATCCTGCATAAATAAGAAGATTGATTGTGGAAAATGTGAAAGTCAAGTAGTAGTAAGTATTTCATATTGTTAATCAAATAGGAAACATTGTAGTTCAGGGAAACAGCAACACTCTACAGTTGAAGTATAAAACTTGCAAAACTTGAATAGTTTAGAAAGATTATTGTGTATTCTCTCTAACTAAATTAACTCATTTTGGAGGTATAGATTCCTGTTGTATTGTAGAATAAGTCTAGGTTTCGTAGAAGCATCTAAATTTGGATGGAAATTATTCCATTTCCTTTTTCATAAAAACAATTTATGTGTTTTTTAACTCACCCGTCACGGATATCATATCCTTTTAGATCTGCGGCAGCACTTAGGGCATTCCTCCATCCTTGCACCTTCTGCATCCCCTCAACATCATCCTTATACTTTAATTCATGTTCGGCAAATGCTACTGCAAAGCTCTCATTTTGGTTTCGAACATGTGATGGATCCACATCATAGAAGATCGGTATGACTGTTTCTCCATTTTCCTTCTCCTTGCATTCCATGATCTTCACTAGTTCATTCAAGCACCACCTGGATGTAGCATAATTCTTTGAGAAAATGATGAGTGCAACTTGAGACTCTTCGATAGCTTTCAAGAGCTCTTGTGGAATGGAATCGCCATTCTCTAGCCTTTTATTGTCTAGAAAGGTGAATATTCCCCTATTGTCCAAACCTTCGTACAAGTGACTCGTAAAATTTCTCCGGGTATCTTTGCCTCTAAAACTTAGAAAGACATTGTACTTCCATCGAGTACAGTCCTGTGAATTACTCGCAGAAGAAGAAGATGATGCCATATATTCGATTAATTGTCTGAAAAGAAAATAGACTGTATGGATGAGATCAATTGATGATATTTTGGACAAAGTTATATACAGGAAAGAAGAAACAAAAAAGTACCACTTCAAACATGAAAACTTCTATGAGCAATCGGTTTACTCCAATTATATAAATTATTATTGTTGGATCTAGTCAAATTATATGTGGTACGTTTTCATTGAATATTAATAGAACTATAGAAGTAAAAGGAAATTTCTGTGAAGCTTCTTAATGTCTACTCCAGTTGATTAGAAATATTGTGGTATTAGGAAATTCCTTCAAAGACCAGTCCCCTACACGAAAACTTCATCGTAATATGTACATAATGGACAGTTAAAAGTCTTTAATCCAGCAACGTATTACTCAGTCTTCAACAGACTGAATCAATAAAAATAATCTAAACAATTTTTGTGTCACCAGATAACAGCTAACTTTGGAAAAGGGCAATAGAGAAGAGTTGACAAATTAATTAAAACAAACATTAGTGTCGACAATTGCGACAGCTTTTCTGAATGTTCCTTACCATTACCAATAATTGATTATGAAACTATATATATGCAGAGTAGTAGATATAGTAGTTCCAATGTTTCTTTCATTGACCCATTTTGGCATAGCTTTCTTGCTTCCCGCGCACATTGCTATATGATTTTGGACAGGCTACTCATCAGCAATGTGAAGACATAATTTTATTTCAAAATGAAATGTGGTATTCTGATCCAAGAGAGGGGTTGTGTCACCTTTACTAATAAGACCAGTAAATTGATATATAAAGATTTGAAGAGAACGGATAACTTTTGTTGTTCCGTGAATCTCTTTCTCAGGCAAAGGGTCTGGTTGTTCTGTTATGAGCGCAAAAAACAATGTGCCTTCACAGGCACTGCAAAACCAAAAGAGTGAAACTTGTTAAAACCACTTGAAATAAGTAATCAAAACATAGATGCTACTTGTTATTACTTTTGTGAAGATCAAAGCCAACAAGCGAGACAGCAGACAGTAAGATAAAAAGGTCGCATATTCCTAAATCAACAACTATTACAACATCTAATCATGAATTGGTGCATTCAGTCTTTGCTTACTAATCTAGCATTCAATATTTATGAAAAAGAGAGAGAGAGAGAGAGAGAGATGGAAGGTCATAAGCCAACTCTATCACAGCTAGTATTCTGATGTTTTCGATAATGGCAACATATTTTATCTGATGTAATAGAAAATTTAAAACAAAACTAAGAGGTGAAAGAGATCACGAGGGAAACGAACCTCAAATTAACCTCGTACTCCAGCTTCCTCCATTGTTTCACACTGTGCTGGACCTTCAATGAGTTTATCTTTTTCCCAAACTCCCTTCCATAACAAGAGGGCATCAAATTGAACTAGTAATTAGTTTTGAAGTCATGGATCAGTGGCTACCTTTGGAAACAACACTTTGCCTTTTCTCTGTGGATTGTTAGAAGAACTTATAAGGCATCCTCATCTACCAACGATGACACGGTGAAATATTTATATTGTAGGGTATACATCTGCAGAAAGACATGATCAAGGGAACAGGTATAGTTAAAAACTGAAGTACAACCTTAGCATCAAAATCTGAAACGTGGTACTAAGAAAAGCAGAATAATGGCTTGCATAGATGGAGCACCAAGATATGATGCAAATCATAAGAGGTGAGGTGATTTACTAACCTCACCGTGTACTCCAGCTTCCTCCACTGTCTCACATTGTGCTCAATTGTTTCATCTTTTTCCCAAACTCCCTGCCATAACCTGAGAGATATTTGTATTTAAAACAGTGATTTCCTTGCATCAAAATGATATTTTAATAAATTTTAAACCCATGGATCAGTGGATACCTTAGGGAATAAGTAATAACAACCCTTTGCCTTTTCTCTGGACTTCTTAGAACTTCAAAACATCTTTCATAATTCAATTCTTTCATTTAGGGAGTTTCTTAGATTAACTGACATAAATACATACATAAACTATATTTCACTACCAACTAGTAAGGAAAAACAAATCATGAGGTATATACCTATTTTTATGCCAAAATTCTGGGCTTGCGGGAAATACCTGGAAAGTTTCTGAATAAACTGGTGCCTCTACTTGTTGCTGCAGATTCTCAAAGACAGCTCCCACCTATATTAAAATGAGATATTTGTTTCTTCGAAGAGGAGTGATAAGTGCTTATGTTCCTAGATGTTTTGATGATCTCCTCACAAGTGCAGGGACCTGGTCCTCTGCAGAGTATGAATACTCGTCCAGTGGTCAAAGTGTTGTACAGCTGGAAAGTTGTCTGTGTCAAAAAGTTGGTGAAGCTGCAGAGTACTCCACCAATCAGAAGCGACGAGGTTGCTTGTTCATTGGATAATAACTTTTCATGTCTAAATATATCCAAGGAAAAACTACAAACTAATTCATTCATTCAAAAAAGATAAGCAATCAAAGCATTGCACATATTATTACGAATGAGAACCAAAACACTGCCCACTGAGTTCCGATAGAAAACAAGGAGGACTGACACAGGAGTTTAGGAAGAGAGGGGATGACTTAGAAGCAAGGGATTGAAAGAATAGAGTTAGAAGATCACATCCCTTAGCATGATTTTTCAGAATCTCTCTTGAAGTTCAGCATGCTTTGCTGCCCAGGCTTCATGTTGAATCTTCAACACTGCCAGTTTTTTTTTTCTTCAACCTAGTCCCTCGGATAGTGCTGTTTCAGAAGCTAAGCCTTTAGGCAAACCATTTCAGTATTCCTGTTAGCAAGATCAACTTTCATAGCTTCCAACACTAGCCTGAGTTTCACATAACAAAAAGATTGATAAAATCAAACTTACTCAAGGCTTTCGAGATGAATAGATCAATAATTGAGGAACCAAAAAGAGAATTTCATTTTATATATATTTTTTGAATCAGACACCCTCTTATTTAGAATACTTGAGTTCTCAGAATATCAACTTCTTCCTTTTTGAACATCATCTTTCTCACCATCTCATTTTTTTCTTGTAGGACCTAGTCCCTCTTCACACTTAAAAACATCTTCATCAGAAAATTCTCCAGTAGGAGCAGAGGGGTTTACACATTTGAAGTGTTTTTTGAGAAAGTAGAAAAGAAGGTTTCGAAAATTTCTGATTTTGGAAGGGGATCTGAAAAGAAGTATAGAGTATAAAGGAAGAGAAAGGAAGTATCATTTTGGTACTCAAATGATGGGACAACTGTCAGATACCTGAATGACAGACATGTAGCAATTGCAACGGTTTTCATGCATAATTCAAACTGCAATGTTAAGATTGCTAACCTTCGAGAACGGACCAGATCCCTCTCTATAGTTTGAATGTGATAGCCTAGATCTGTCCTGACCTCCCTTTTCCTTCAGCCCTTTTGCTATGTGTGTATACCTACAAAAGGTATAAGACTGAACTTGCTAAAACATACATAATTGAAAATCATGACAAGGCTACCAGCTCAAGTGAAGTGTGTGGCAAGTGCGATCTACCAGGTCACTCCATTGGAAACTGTCCTATGCACAAAGCTGATCACATGGAATCTGTCAAGAATGAAGAAGGTAAAGACAAAGAGGGGGACCAGGTCCGTGACAAGCTAAGAAAAAGAGAAACCTTTTTCCAGGCACTGAAGAAAGATGTGGCTGCATGGAAAAATTCCTCAAGTGATTCAGATGATTCTGAGCACTCTAATGATGCTTTCATGGGAAAGTCAGATGAGGAGGATGTTGCTGAAAAGGTAACCCTATCATATTTCAAGCAAAACTTGAATACCTTTTCTACCAGTAAATTGAGAAAGCTAGTTGTTGTATTACTTGATGTGATAAGTAAGCTAACAACTGCAGATGTTCTCGTAAACAATAGCCTAGACATCTCTCAAGATGGAAAAATTGCTTTAGTTCCCCAAATATCTGATATTGAAAATCAAATGGTTATTTTAGAAGCTAAAAATCTAGAACTGAAAGAAAAGATAAAAGGGGTAACTAATACAATTTTGAAAGGAAAAAACGAGGCAAGCAGCTTGCAGCTGGAGCTTGAAAATAAGCTGCATACTGCTGAAATGAAGATGAAATTGGCTTTGGAAAGAAATTTTGAGTTGGAGAGGGACCTGGTCCGTGTAAAAGAGGAACTTGAAAAA